TTTTCGTTGTTTCTGTGTGCGTAAAAGAACCACCGCTCTGTGCGTTTGCTGCCAGGGATTCTGGGGATGCGATAAGGGGATTAGCTACCCCACTTCGCACTTCCTCTACATCCTACGGGGCTCCTGCACATCAGCAGGTACCATTTTGGGGGGTCTCTATAATAAGGACTATAGTATTTTGGGGTCTCTATTGGGGTTCCCCTATTGTGGGAAAGTACCAGATGTGCTCAAAACATGGAATGGGGAGATACCCAGGTAGGTGGCCAGTTCAAGCAAGTCATGAGTAAGAGCTGATGCAGACATGTCTTTCAAGAACACATGGTAGTTTCCCTAAATTAGGGGACCCCAATATAGACCCCAATATACTATAATCCTTATTATGGGGACCCCTAAAATGGTACCCCTAATTTTGGGAAACCCCCACATCTCCACTGCATTGCAAAGCATTGAGGCCAAGAGTCCCTGCCATGACCACAATCACTCTCACGAGCCTCAAGGAAGGATGTGGGAATCTGCTATCCACACGTCACCGGGCAAGTAAAAACTTGGAGCTTGTTGACGGCAGCAAAGATCTGTGATACTTCCCATCTTGCATCCAGGAGCTCCATTCCACAAGACACCATGTTCATTGCCGAGCAGTGGTTGCCAGTTCCTTGGCGCCAGGAGTATGCAGCTTCATCCTTTGTTGCTAGTACTGCCTGCTGCTACCTGGATAAGGCTTTTTGAACAGGTTGACATTACCTTCGACGCTGCTCGGCCTTTCTTGATGAAGGGGAACTGGTGGCGAAGTAAAGCGTGACTTTAGCGTCTGAGCTGCTCATCAAATGAAGCACGATGCCTGGCAGGGAGCATCAGCTGCAGAGCAGCGCTTGAACACTTGGAGGAGCTGCTACTGCTTCTGCATTCAGAGTTGGCATAGCTACTCGTGGGCCGCGGTCAGCATTGGCTATGGCAAGGCAGTGGAACAAGCCCAAAACGGAATGCAAACGCCCACCTGCCAAGTGAAAGTGGAAGATGAAAAGTAGAACCTAGGCGAGTGATTCCTGAAAGCAATTGACATGCATACACATCCGCCAAGCAACGCTGAAGAAGATACCAGCGAGGAGGCTCCTGTACAATGGCGAGTCCCTCCTCAGTGCGAAACTGCCAGGAAACAGGTGCGGCTACACTGTAGTAGTTTCCATTTTCTTTTCCATTATCCCAACGTACCCCCAATATACTGTAGTAGTTTCCATTTTCTTTTCCATTATCCCAACGTACCCCCCAATATACTGTAGTAGTTTCCATTTTCTTTTCCATTATCCCAACATACCCCCAATAGATACCGGCTAGGCAGCTGGCAGCTGGCAGCTACAGGCAGCCCCACAATCCAATTTCCACCCTGTGCGGAAGTTAATCTACGTAAGCTCATTTGTGAGTGTTCATATCAGGATTATCCTAAACCCGAAACCCTAAGGGATCATTCTGAGGATCAACTCCTCACTCCCCCTTAAGCACCAGCAAGCCAATTGCCGACGTGAAGCAGATGGACAAACACCTTGGCAGGTGTGAGAGGATGATTCACGGGGAGCAGTCAGCTGCAGCATGTTTACCATTACTGTAATGTTTTTCCTATTGCAAACTGATGCTTAGCGTTATTGCTATTACTAAAAACTACTGTTCGTACTTCTAGCCCTGTAAAGCTTATGATCAGGGTGCAGGCTTGCTTGTTTGTTGAAGAAACCTCCTTCTACGCCCTGCACAAGGTCGCCATGATCTTGGATGTAACCCAACCCCTGGGTCAGGGGCAGGATGTGATGGCAATTGCTCGCATGCCGATTGGAAAAAGAGTGACTTGCTTTGCCCCTCTGTGATGCCATTCTTGGGGCTTCCGCACGTAGACCGGTAACCCCAGACAAGCCGGGGGAGGACTAGGCACGGAGTAACCGTCAAACTCCTGGCTGACACACCGCTGCATACAATTCTGATATCCAGATGATAACCACGCTTTCGAAGACGGGGGTAACTCCGTTTCCCCTGGGTCGTTATGTCATCGAAGGCCAGCAATTTTGAGAAACTTCCTCGACTCTACAGCCAACATGGTCCCACAAAGACCTAGATATCTCTGCATCAACAGTACCCACTGGGTTTCAAGACCACAAAACTAAGAAACGTATCCAACCATGACCCAGCAGACTTCTGGCATACTACTGTTACAACTGTTATTGCTCTTGTACAAACCTGATTATACCTAGTATAAATATCATTATCATTATTGCTGTTTGGTCCAGTCACTCCCTTGACGCGGCCTATCGGGGAGGCAGGGTTCACCCCACCGGGCGGCACACCGCGCAGCACCTAGCAAGGGCATGGAAAGTTCAGGTTTTCTGGGGCCCTAAACCCTAAGCCCTGAACCCCAAATCCTAAACCTTAAACTCTAATCCCCAAAAAAGGAGTGTCACTTCGCAGGTTAAGGGATGGGGAAGGGATGGGGAAGGTAGGCGGGGAGGAAGGGAGACCGTGCGCAAGAGTGTAGGGTTGGGGGGTTGAAGACTTCTGCAAAGCGCAAAAGGCATGATTCTCCCCAGTGCTCTTTCTTGTCTTTTGCAGGTTCTTGCTAGACTTGCGCAAAAAAAGCTTCAAGCGCTGAGCTGAACAGCTTTGGCAAAGCATGCGTGCTACTTTAGGTAATCAGAGGTCTCTCACTGTCCATTTTCATGACCTGACCATGTATTCTTCTGACCGTCGGTAGTCCTGTACATCCGCTGGAGAAAAGCGTTGCGCGTTGCGGGTTTTCATCTTTCCTTGCGCAGTATTTCATGCGACCACACCTTGGACTACTCTACGTATGATTGCATTCATAGCCACGGTAGTACAAGTGTATTCCTAGCATTCACTACTCTTAGATACTACTAAACTTCAAGCCCTAAGGACAAAACTCCAAGCTCTAAACCCTAAATTTGGCCCTGAAGCGTAAGGTTTCCATGGGAGTGTCTGAACATGTTCCCTTTATAATCCTTATTCAGGACCCCTGCGCACGCCGCTTTGAGAAACCCTGGAAAACCTGAACCCTACTACTCCAGAAACACCGTACATGGATTATTCTCAAAAATGGGCACCTACTATTTAGGGGTACCAAGATGGGATCCGAATTTTGGGAACTACCCACATCCCTACTTGTATGACCCTTTGGCTTGGGGGTACCCCATGTTCCCCCCTAGACTTCACGCTGGCGCCTCAGCACGTGGGTCTCGTCTACTCTGAAGTGGTTCCTGGGCTGAGGCGGATTACTGGAAAGATGTGTACCCGGAGATGCCCTAAGGTGGGTTGAAAGGGATTCTTTTTGGGGTTTGAGATATTTCAGCCAGGGGGGTGTATGCAAGCAAGTCCAAATTCTAGATTCTCAAGCATGATGGGACACGACAACCAGATCATCAGATGGTGCCCGAGCTTAGAGACTTGCACGTGTGGGCATCTTCAAAACTGATACATCAGAACACTCATACTATGTGTTCAAAGGGCCCTAAACCCTAAATCCTGAACCCAAACCATAGACCGTACTACACTCTGAATCCTACACAGGAAGGAAATGAAAGGCTGCCTCATTCCCCAAAGCCAAGCGCACCGCTGCCAAGCATCGATCTTTTCGAACCACTTCAGGACCAGCTGCACGGGTCTAAGCACGACCGCCTGAAAAGAACAAGGTAACCCCTGCTGCTGGTGTGGTCTGACTTCATTATGGGAGTCTATGTTGAGCTTTCGAGTCTTTCGACTCTGTCGAACCCATTAATGATGGCGATCATTGCGCCGCCCTGTACCGCAAACGTGGACGGAAGAAGTTGCTGACCCTTAACCCTCAGCTACTAAGCCCGTAACCCCCAAACCTTAAAACCCTAAGCCCCAATCCCTAGAACCCCAAACCCTCAAACCTCAAATCCCTGTTCTCGGTCCTCGGGGTGGTTTTTAAACTCGTCCATCGTCGGCTCGCGCAGTTCAGTGAGCAGGTCGTCGTACGAGGGCACCGAAAAGTTTCTGTCCAAGCCTTAGGTTACAGTGTAGAGCTCTTTAAGGACTGCATAGAAACTGAATATGGTATGGAGATAGTGCAGAATGTTCGAGGGATCCCAGGGGAAGCTACGTCACGGCGACATGTTTGTACTCATCCGATTAAGGCTGGTTGAAGTGCTCTGGTCCTCGCGAGGCAAGCTGAACAGTTGCGTTTTGGGGGTCAAGCCTGCAAGATACCTGCGCATATCTTCTTACTGGTAGTTAATAGGGAATGAGGGAATATATTCCTTATATATCACATAATTTATTCCATGATTCCCTACTAACCACCGGCAAGTCTTTTCGTACGAAGTTCTGGGATTTTGAATGCGCAATCCGGTGCCTGATGCGCATGCTAACTGCCTCCACTGGAACTTTTGAGCGGGTCAGGCGTCCAATGCGTGGCGATGACAGATGCATAGTTGCATGGGTCTAGAAGCTCAGCAGTCAAAACTACTCAACAGTAGTGTAATCTTCGATGGTCAGTATAAAGGACGGTAGGTTATCCTGCTGGTATGACTTGGGCTTTTTCCTTCCTTAGTGCTTCTCCAGCAACGCTCAAACTATCCACATATATATATATATACATATATAATCCCTTAATTTCCTTGAAACGCCCTGTAACTGTACATGTGCCCAAGCCCTAGGATGTAGGACCCCGCCAGCTCAGGGAGTTAAGGCTCCAACTCGTTGTACGCTCGACGTCCTCGGTCTGCGACTTGCGGCTCTTCCGCTCGTAGCAGCAAGCACAGCATCGTTGGGCGCCCTGGGAGGCTGGATGAATCCCATTAGCCAAGCTACTGACTTTAGGTTTTAGGGCTTAGGATTTACGGTCACGGAGGACAAAAAACACCTTGCACTACTTCATACACTCTATACCTGAGGAAGTATACTTTCATGGGGCCCAAAGCAGCCGTCAGCCAGCAGTAGTGTTAGTCATAAAGCTGAGCAGTGGTAGATTTTGTACCCCCGAACCATAATAACAGACCTCTTCAGCACACTATCATTACATAATCATACTCCAGGGGAATACTTATCACTTGTTGCAGTAGCAAGTATGAATACTTATTAGGCAAGAATCGGTATGTTCAGACTACTGGTGTGAGTAACGGGCTTAGAATTTGCTTCATCTTTACTGTTTTCAAGCGGTGCAGGTTCCCCCCGCTGCTCTCTTCTGGTTCAGTTGCACGCCTTCCGCACTAGTCCTCTAGCTGTACACTTGGCAAAGCTTTTGCACTTCCAACCGGGATTTTCATTGTCCACCGGCTGGCCTGAACCAAGTGCACGCCTGATAGAAGCAGTGCCATCTCGGGATCGTCATGGGCGGTTTCGGTCCGGGGCAAATCCATCCTGTCCAACACAGCAGGGATGAACCATTGCTTGAGTAGCTTTTTTTTTTTTTTTTT